GCGGGAGTGCCCTGAGGCGCCGATATGCGGGAAGTGTGGACGACGGGGGCACACGGAGAGGGAATGCTACTCCAAGAGGGGAGATGGTCGAGGAGACAGTCGTGACCGGAGTGAAGTGGCAGAGATGCGCGCAGAAATCGAGAGGCTGCGAGCCCAATTGGAGGGGCGAGAGACGGGGGAAGAAAGGAAACCGGCAATGGTCGCTAGGAGAGAAGAGGAGGAAAGCAGTGAAGAGGACTTCTGTCTAATGGCATGGCCTGCGCGGGACCGCGAGGAGCTGGGCCTGAGGACACGGGAGAGAAATCTGAGGCCCAGAGCAGAGATAAGGAGGGAAGCCGGACCAAGGCGCCAGGCTGCTGCGGAGCAAGAAGACTTGCACCCTCCGCGACGGCACCCCCTTGAGAGGCTCAGCTGCGCCGCATCCGTGTTGGTGGCCGAAAAGGGGTACATAACAGTGGGAGGAGTGGCGGTAAAGCAGGCCATCATAGATACCGGAGCTCACCCAGTGCTGATCGGAAGGAGACTCGCGCAACAGCTGCAGTTGGATCGACCGGAGCGACAGATAGAAGAGGGCTTGCTGCTGATGACGGCGGAGGGAGGAGGCACGAAGTGGATGCCAAAAACGAGGAGCACGGTAGAGATATACATAAGGCAAGGGAGCCCTGAAGAGTCCTCGGTCAAGCTGCAGTGTGGAATATCACCTTCGGAGGACTACGATCTACTGCTGGGGGTGGAATTTCTCTACATCATCGGAGCCACAATCTGCATGTGGGAAGAAAAGCTCACCTACCGCGTGGTGTACTGGGAAAGGAACCAGCCAGTGGCAGAGCTGCCCGTTCGATTCATACGGCGGGAACCCCGGGAGGCCTACCAGGCGGAGATCAGGACCGTGGAACAGGAGTTGGGGATTCTGAGCTGGGAAAGGTTGGACGAGGTACGGAGACAGCGAGACTGGCACCGGCAACATTGGGGAGAGAGTGGCAGATTGAGGGAGCTGCACCTGGATGTGGGGGTGTTTCAGAAGCCAATAGTACTGCTAGAACTGTTCGCGGGCATTTGCACTGGGCTAGCTGCAGTGCTCAAGGCCGGCCTGAGAGTGGAAAAGTATATCTACGTGGAGAATGTTGAGGCGGTGAACTACATGGCCTGGCACCATATCAAGAAATTGGAAGAACGGTACCCCTCGCAGCTATACGCGGGTGCAGTGGAAAGGGGAGCAGAGTGGGTGTGTCACCGAGTAGAGGATGTGAAGGAAGACGCGCTAGCCCACTGGGGACACGTGGACCTAGTGATCGCCGGATGGGAGTGTCAGGGTTTATCGCGGGCAGGAGAAGGAAGGGGGTTTGAGGACCCAAGAAGCGGGCTGTTCCGAGAGCTGGTGCGAGTGTTGAAGATGATCAAGAGGAAGCAAGGGGAGGTGGCGTACATAGTGGAGAACGTGGACACCCGAGATGACATGAGAGAAGCAGTGAAGAAGGCAGAGGAAGAGATTCGTGCCGAGCTGGGGGCAGGAGCGGCCTGGGATGCAGCACAGATTGGCAGCAGGGCGCACCGACCACGCCGTTATTGGCAGAACGTCATGCCGGAGGCAGCAGTCTTGTACGAACTGTCCATGATGGAACGGCCGCGTGCGCGCCTGGTGCAGGACATACTAGAGCCTGCAAGAACCCCAGCACCAGTGAGATACCCGGACCACGAATTGCAGTACCCATGCAACACAGTGGACAAGCCGCGGCAGGCCTGGCCAACGCTGGTGGCACACGACCAGGCAAAGGGGTTCATAATGGAGGGGGACAGAGAGGGCCCAGGGATGGTATACGATAGCCTGAAGGGAGTATGGGAGGAGCCAACGGCATTGGAGCGAGAGCTAGCGATGGGATTCATGGCGGGAGCCACGGCGAGCGGAGAAGTGACGGAGCAGCAGAGAAAGCGGGCATTGGGCAATGCCATGGACCTGAACGCGTTGCACTGGTTGGTGGGAGTCATGCAGAGACATCTGGAAAAGAAGCGGTTGGAGAGGAGAAGAGATCACGCAGCTAGCGCAGAGCCAAGGACCGAGCTGGATGACAAGAAGCAGTGGGAGGCAGAGAGGTTCCTGGAGCTGCTAGAGGAAGAGGCAAGTGAAGAACGAGAGAAGGGGGTGCCGGTGGAAAGGAGGATGGGCAGTCACAGCGACCGGGACGAAGCACCGGGGAGATACCCAGACCAGGACGAGGAAGAAGAAGAGGAGGAAGAATGGGTGGAGCCAGAAATGGACTGGGATAGCGAAGATAGAGAAGACCCCACAGATACATGGATCCCGGACCCGGACGAAGTATTCCTGGGCCCGAGCAGGGCATACATGGTGCTGAGCAGCGGCAACGGAGTGGAACAGGCGCGGGAGCTTGGAGTGGAAGGGCAGAATGACGCGGAGAGAGTGGAGGCAGGTGAAGGAGAGCCAACGCCGCGAAACCCTGCAGATACGGAAGGGCAGGAGGCAGGAGAAGCAAGGGAGAAGGAGCATCAATGGAACATAGGCACGGCGCTGCAAGGGACAGCGGCGATAAGGCTAGAAGCAGTACTGAGGAAGCATGCCGCGGCCTTTGCACACAATCTACAGGAGCTGGGGAAGTGCACGACAAGCGTCATGCACCTGCCCCTAACCAGTGAAGTGCCTGTGTACCAGAGGATGCGAAGAATGAGCCCGCAAGACATCGAGGTCTGCACCGCAAAGTGCCAGGAGCTGCTAGCAGCAGGATTGATTCGCAGATCATCCTCGGACTATGCTGCCGCCACGGTAGTAGCAGCTAGGGCGGATCTGACGGGAACAGTGCTGTCCAGGAGGATGTGTGGAGACTACAGGGGTTTGAACAAGGTGACAGCTACGGATCGCTACCCCATGCCCATGGCAGAAGAGATTTTCGATCAGCTGCATGGAAGCTGTGTGTTCTCCACTCTGGACCTGCGGCAGGGTTTTAACCAAATCCCAATTGTAGAAGAGGATAAGCGGAAGACGGCATTCCATGGGCCAGATGGCCTATACGAGTGGAATTTCATGCCCTTTGGCCTGCGCAATGCCTCAGCAGTCTTTCAACGCGTGATGGACGCCGTGCTAAGAGAGGTGAAGGGAGCGGCCTGTTACATCGACGACGTCATCATCTTCAGCTCCGACAGTGAAAGACATGTGGCGGACATAGAAACAACACTGGCAGCCATCCAAGCAGCGGGACTCACCTGCCACCCGGGGAAATGCCGATTTGGACACCACAGTGTGGCCTATCTGGGGTTTGAAGTGGCGGGGGGGGAATTGAGCATTCAAAGTGGCCCTAAACCCTAAACCAGTAACATTCCGCTTGCGCTTACCAGATACATGGAAGCTTCACAACGCTTTCCATGTCCAGCTAGTGAAACCCTACAAGGACCCCAACCAACAGTTCAAGGGACGGCAGCTACCGCCACCAATCCTAGATCCTCACACTCGTTGCTTTACTTGCCAGCTGACAGGTTGATGCGCTTGTCCGCGTTTGCAGCTCCTCGGCTCTGTCTTGAAAGCACACATTCAGAGCAAGGGACAGAAACATGCACGCCTCATACACTTCTCACACCAATCCGACAAGCCACACTTATGTACAGTGCACACATTCATACCGCATTCCACACTTAGTTTGCAGCCCACTGCCTCCGTATCCCCATTGTAGTTGATGACTCGCTTTGCCCTCGGCTCATTGTCATGATTATAATTGTAGCAGTAGGTGAACACAATATATATTCATGACTAGGGAAGTAGCGAGGATAACTAGAGAGGGGATGCCTCAATTGGGAGATGGCGGGGAATTGCGGAGGGAATTAAAAGGTAGAGGCCGTTGAGAAACGGTAAAAAATTCAATTACTTAAGGCTAGGTAGGGGTGTGTGCTCCTTGCTTGCGTGTTTGTTTTCGTACTTCAAGTGGATCTCGCTAGATAGTACTCATTGCCTACGCCACCTTCACGAAGCCAACCTCGCAAATTACTGAGTAACCAGACCTCCAATGCTTGGAGTCAGCCGAGCTAATCAGATCTGAAACCCTAGGTGCTCCCCGCTAGAGGAGAGTCACTAGCTTTTTAAGTAGGTGAGGCTGCTATGATTCAGAGTAAGGGAAACCGGGAACTAAGAGCATTGGGGAAGGGATGAGGGGGCCAAGCTGGTCAGGTAAGGGCACGAGGCATAAGGAGAAAGACCTACAATTCCTCAAAGGAGTTTCGGCCAGAGAGGAAGGGGGATAGAATTTCCGACATCATGCCTGGTACAGCACCATCCTTGTATGCTACTCCCTTACGGCATATTGTTGTCTCAATATTTTGTTGCCCTCCCGCTTGGCTCATGCTAGTCAATGTAATCCTGTGACAGCCACTCGCTCTTTGCTCCACTTGCGGACGAATCTGTTGAGCCGAGTGGTCCATATTCAAAGCTTGTGGGTTACCTCATGTACCTGATGCCGTGCACTTAGCATCTCAGAGACACTGCCCTGGGCACTGGTGGGCTGCTACGAGGGTGCTCCGCTACTTGGCTAGTACATTAGGCATGGGGTTTGTGCTTCGGGGACTGGGCCCAGTTGTGCTCACAGGGTACTCAGACGCGCGAGGGGGGAGCGGGAGCGAGGGGGGAGCGGGAGCGAGGGGGGAGCGGGAGCTGGCTACGAGAGCGACCGGAGGGATGTAAGCGACGTGTGTGACGGGAGGGAGGGGGGACAAGGGTAAGACTGGGACGAAGGGAGGCTGCGCGATTGCTACCGCGGCAGATGGAGCGCCACATACCGGGCCGAGCCCGTTGACTATTTCTTGTATGGTTGTCGTGCGTGCGGTTTTCGTGACATGTAGGGTGCTTGTGACGACTCTGATTTTTTAGCGTGCCCCGCAACCATTCTAGGGGCCTGAGTATGTTCTGCATACATAACACCTATTGAAAGGAAGTTTTTGTCCCCCTACTGCGAGGCATTTACCAATACACCCTACTAGGGCTTCTTCTATGCAATAGGCAACTCTCATGCCACACCACTTGTGCAGGCAAGCGTGCCTATGCATGTCGTTGGAAGCACAATGGATGCACTACTTCGTGCTACTGAGCTGGGCGAGCCATGGCAGCAGCGCTTGGTGCACAGCGACCGGCTGGTCGTCGTGGGGGTAGTGGCGGGGACCGTGAGCATGGTGGTGAGGGGGCGGTGCTGCGTCAGGTGCGAGAAGAAGCGCCCCACGAGGCCATCGAGCGGCGTGAAGGGGTCCTGCTCGCCCCACAGCAGTAGCAGCAGTGCCTCGATGCGTGGCAGCAGGTGCTCCGGGCGCGGGCCAGGCGGGCCCGTGAGCACTGCTATGAACACCTGCAGCGCCCCGGGGTCCTCTGCTGGCGCACATATGAGCTGCAGAGGCAGGGGGAGGCAGGGCGAGGGGTGCACAATAGTTAGGTAGCACACGCAGCACGAGTTGTTTCCCTTGCCAAGGCATATGACATGAGAGGTGGGTGCACGATGCCATGTGTGAACTGGTTGCACTCGCTCCCAGCTCCACCTTCGGATGAATCTGTTGACCCGAGTGGTCCATATTTAAAGCTTGTGGGTTACCTCATGTACCTGATGCCGTGCACTCAGCCTCCGGGAGACACCACCCTGGGCACTGGCGGGCTGTTGCGAGGGTGCTCAGCTACTTGGCCAGTACATCAGGCATGGGGCTTGTGCTTGGGGGACGGGGCGGAGTTGAGATCTTAGGGCACTCAGACGCTTCGTGTGCTGACGACCAAGCGATTTCCTGGTCTTCACAGGCTACACTTCCAGTCTCAGCACTGGCACTGTCTCATGGAGGTCCACTCGCTCGTCTTCTGTGCTTGGCTCCACCCGTGAGGCCAAGATCTACGCTGGGGCTATGGCTGCGCAGGATTTACGCTGGTTAACCTACATGCTTACGGACTTGGGTGAGCGGCCTCGTTCTCCTCCAGTTCTTTACGTTGACAACAAGGCCATGATAACCTTGTGTCGGGAGCAAGACTGGAGCAAAGAACGAAGCATATTGCACTTCGATATTTTCTTGTGCTAGAGTTACAGCAGCGTGGTCAGATTCGCTTTCTTACGAGGCCTCTCAAGCCAACACCGCTGATATTTTCACCAAAACCATGGGGTCTAATGATCATCCATGTTTCTGTACTGCTCTTGGCCTGGTGCCTACCCTGCCTCACTTGCTTTCCTCTTGAGCTTGTCTTGCACTTGCTGTATTCTGCTAAATATATTTATACTTGCACGTTTATACTTGCTAGGTTGTGATAATTTTGTTGCTTTTGTTATTATAACACTGCATGTGAACTGGCCTTGTGGCCTCTTGCTTGTGCTCGGGGATTGAAAATTCGAGATGGGAAGGGAGAGGCATCGAATAGGGAAGGGTGGAAGCTGTGCGTAGGGCAGGGGGAAAATGGTGTTCAGAAGAGGTGGAAACTGCACGTAGGAAAGCGGGGAAACTGTGCCTAGGGAAGGGTTGAAGCCGCTTGTAGGGAAGGGGGGGAAACTGCGCGCATGCGAGGGTTGAAGCTGCACGTAGGGAAGTGGGGAAGCTGCGGGTAGGAAAGGGGGGGAACCGCGCACAGGGAAATGGGGACGCAGCGCAGAGGGTAGAACAGTGTAGGGAAAGGGGAGAGGCGAAGAGGGAAGGAATGCGAGAGACACAGAGGGACGAGAGGAACCGAAGGGAAGAGAGCGACGGGTGCGACGTGGGTGACGGGAGGGACGGAAGCGACGGGAGGGACGGAAGCGACGGGAGGGACGGGAGGGACGGAAGGGACGGGAGGGATGGAAGGGATGGAAGCGACGGGAGGGACGGGAGGGACGGGAGGGACGGGAGGGACGGGAGGGACGGGAGGGACGGGAGGGACGGGAGGGACGGAAGGGACGGGAGGGACAGAAGGGACGGGAGGGACGGGAGCAACGGGAAGAGGGACGGGAGACAATGGGATGAGGGACGAGAGGGACATGAGGAGCGGGAGCGACGGGAGGAGCGGGGGCGATGGGAGGAGCGGGGGCGACGGGAGGAGCAGGGGCGACGGGAGGAGCGGGGGCGACGGGAGGAGCGGGGGCGAGGGGGGAGCGGGAGCGAGGGGGGAGCGGGAGCGAGGGGGGAGCGGGAGCGAGGGGGGAGCGGGAGCGAGGGGGGAGCGGGAGCGAGGGGGGAGCGGGAGCGAGGGGGGGCCAGGGTAAGACAGGGACGAAGGGAGGCCGCGTGATTGCTACCGCGGTGGATGGAACGCCACATACCGGGTCGAGTCCGTTGACTATTTCTTATATGGTTGTCGCGCGTGCGGTTCCAATGACGTGTAGGGTGCTTGTGACGACTCTGATTTTTCAGCGTGCCCCACAACCAATCCAGGGGCCTGGGTATGTACTGCGTACATAACACCTAGTGAAAGGAAGTTTTTTTACCCCTACTGCGAGGCATTTACCAGTACACCCTACTAGGGTTTCTTCTATGCAATAGGCAACTCTCATGCCACACCAATTGTGCAGGCAAGCGCGCCTATGCATGCCGTTGGAAGCACAATGGATGCACTACTTCGTGCTGCCGAGCTGGGCGAGCCATGGCAGCAGCGCTTGGTGCACGGCGACCGGCTGGTCGTCGTGGGGGCAATGGCCGCACAGGGGGACCGTGAGCATGGTGGTGAGGGGGCGCTGCTGCGGCAGGTGCGAGAAGAAGCGCCCCACGGGGCCGTCCAGCGGCGTGAAGGGGTCCTGCTCGCCCCACAGCAGCAGCAGCGGTGCCTCGATGCGTGGCAGCAGGTGCTCCGGGCGCGGGCCAGGCGGGCCCGTGAGCACTGCTGTGAACACGTGCAGCGCCCCGGGGTCCTCTTCTGGCGCACATATGAGCTGCAGAGGCAGGGGGGGGGAGGCACGGCGAGGGGTGCACAACAGTTAGGTAGCACACGCAGCTTGAGTTGTGTCCCTTGCCTAGGCAGATGAGATGAGAGGTGGGTGCACGATGCGATGTGTGGATCTGTTGACACTATGAACTTCGTGAGGAAGTACCAAAGCATGCATGTCCGCATCACCACCATATTGACCATCACCTGCACCAGCTCGCCATGGCACCACCATCATCATGGCTATCATTGTCAAATTCAGCATCAGCATGACCTGCACGAGCTCAGCATCACCTGCACCATCACCAACACCAACACTGACAGCATGAGCATCAGCATCACCTGCACGAGCTCGTCATCGACTGCATCGGGGTTGCTGTACACCGCCCGCAGCACCGATGCCACGTTGTTCCTACCCACGGGGAGAGAGGGAGGCGGGGGGAAGAGGAAGTGGGGGGAAGGGGGGGGTTGGGGAGAAGAGAGCGAATGGGGACAGACTTGGGATGAGGGACAATTCAAGGGGTGATCTGTGAGGGGGAGTGGATGGGAAGTGAAAAGGATGGGCGGCTGGCAAAAGAAGATGGTAAAATGGCAAAGCAGCAGAGGAAGGTTGACCTGGTGCGGACAAGGCTGACCTGGTGCGGACAAGGCTGACCTGGTGCGGACGCGGTTGAAGATGGCGGTGGCTAAGGGAGGGAAGGAGAGAAGCCAGTCGATGAGGAGGAAGAGGGGCAGCGCGAGGCGGATGCGCCAGTCGTCCTGAATGGCCTTGTTGTTCAGCCCGCCCGCACAGTTCAGCAGCACCACCCCCGCCACCTCCTCGCTCGGCAGCGCTGCACACGGCACACAGGGCGGTAGGCAGTGAGGGGTGGTGAGGGGTGAGAGTAGTAAGTGCGAGGACGTACGGCACGGGATGAGGAACAGAAGGCACACGTGAGGTGCTGATGTGGCATGGGATGAGTAACGGAACGCATATTTGAAGTGCTGACGAGCCTCCCACACACCCCACGCACACACATCTGACCTGTGGGTCATCGCCCTGCTTAACTGGCACGGGAAGATTAGGCAACGAGACCTAGCTTGGATTAGGCAACGAGACCTAGCTTGGATTAGGCAACGAGACCTAGCTTGGATTAGGCAACGAGACCTAGCTTGGTGCATCACCAAGGAGTATCCTAGCTTGGGTTTGAGAACTCAACCTTGACCAGTAAGTTGGCTCCCACAGTTGGGTTGGAAGATTATTGGAGGGAGACTTAATACTCGTGGCTCATCTTTGGCCAGCACTGTTGGGAGCCCCCAACACTCCAACCCAACCTCTTGGCGGGGGCGAACAGCGAGGGCCAAGACCCCAACCTCTTGGCGGGGGCGAACAGCGATGGCCAAGATCCCAACCTCTTGGCGGGGGCGAACAGCGATGGCCAAGACCCCAACCTCTTGGCGGGGGCGAACAGCGAGGGCCAAGACCCCAACCTCTTGGCGGGGGCGAACAGCGAGGGCCAAGACCCCAACCTCTTGGCGGGGGTGAACAGCGATGGCCAAGACCCCAACCTCTTGGCAGGGGCGAACAGCGATGGCCAAGACCCCAACCTCTTGGCGGGGGCGAACAGCGATGGCCAAGACCCCAACCTCTTGGCGGGGGCGAACAGCGAGGGCCAAGACCCCAACCTCTTGGCGGGGGCGAACAGCGATGGCCAAGACCCCAACCTCTTGGCAGGGGCGAACAGCGAGGGCCAAGACCCCAACCTCTTGGCGGGGGCGAACAGCGATGGCCAAGACCCCAACCTCTTGGCGGGGGCGAACAGTGATGGCCAAGACCCCAACCGACCCCCCTTTCTCATTCAACAGTTCGTACCCCCTCCAATGCTATCAAGGCAACTCAGGTTCTTGTATCTCCCAATCCTCGTGTCTGGCGTGCCTCGTCATGCCGCCATCCCCCTCACAACCGATAGCCGTGTCGCTAGCGTGCAGTTGCGCCTCTAGCACCTCCCTTGTCCCTAGACGTTGCAACCTCCCCCCTTCCACCCACCTCATTCTAGAGCACCCCAACGGCCTTCCTTCCTTCCCCAACGACCCGTCCCCCTCTCCACCCCCTCGTGCTCCGCCTCCCCTGACAGACCCCCCCCCCCATAACCCCTGTCCTCCCAGCGTGGGTTCTCCTCGCGTTCCACTGGCCGTGGGAGCACCTTCCAGCCCTCGACTTGCATGACTTCAGCTGCAGCTGCTCTTGATGACAAGGGCCGTTGGGGCAGAGCAAGGAAACCCTAACAAACCTGCAGGGGAGAGGCAGGAGAGGAATGAGGAGAGCAAACCTGCAGCAGCAGTAAGCGCAACGAGGCTTCCGATGGAGTTGCCCACCAGCACCACTCTGCACCGCACCACTTCGGATACGAAATCCTGCAGCATCTGTTAGGAGGACAGGCATGAGACGGCGGGAATGAGACAGCGGGAATGAGACAGCGGGAATGAGACAGCGGGAATGAGACAGCGGGAATGAGACGCGGGTATGAGACGGCGGGTATGAGACGGCGGGAATGAGTCGGTGGGTATGAGAGGGGCGGGTATCGGGTATGAGAGGGCGGGTATGAGAGGGCGGGTATGAGAGGGTGGGTATGGGAGGGCGGGTATGGGCGGGCGGGTATGGGGGGATGGGGGGGAAAGAATGGTTGGTGAGCATGGGGCAAAAGCATGGGATGGGAGGGCAGGCAAGGGAGTAGCATGCATGCGCGAAGAGCGAGTTGGATTGGAACCAGCCATGCAGCGCCTCACCTGCGCCCCCACGTCACCTGCGCCCCCACGTCACCTGCGCCCCCACGTCACCTGCGCCCCCACGTCACCTGCGCCCACTACTCACCTTCTCCCCCCCTCACCTGCGCCCACTACTCACCTTCTCCCCCCCTCACCTGCCCCCACGCCTCGATGGTGTAGTCCCCGCCTTGCGGCTTGTCAGACGCGCCCAGCCCCAGCAGGTCCAGCGCCACCACCCTCATGCCCGCCTCCGCCACCGCCTCTGCTGTCCTGCCATGGGAAGGGGGTCAAGGCGGGCCAGTGAGCGGAGGGAGAGGGGGAGAAGCGGGGAAGAAGAAGAGGAGGTCGAGTGGAGGAAGGCGGAGATACCAGGAGGATCAATCGCATGGAAGCGCTGCCCTTCACCTGCGCCGCCCCTCACCTGCGCCAGTGCCCCTCACCTTTTTTTTTTTTTTTTTTTTTTTTTTGATACGGAAAAGTACAATAAAAGGATAATGTACAAAACGCATCAGGCAGTCGTAACTGTATCTGAAGGGAAGTGCCACAGTAGCATGTACCGTAGATTCCCTATATCGAGCCCACGGTGGCCGATTAGTCATCTTCGGATTGTTCCAGACGGAACTGAAGCTGCTCCTCCACATCAGCGGTGCCCCCTTGCTGTATATGTGTCTCATCACCTCCGCCTCGTCTGCTGCCAGGTAACCCCAGTTGTCAACACCAATCGCCACGCCATGCTTCCGTGCTGCCACTTGCCTTGCCAGGCAGTACACCCTGACGTGCGCGACAAACTTTACCACCGCCAAGCATATCACCTTCTTCGGCTGGAACTTTACATCACGACGGCTTGCGTCACACCTTGCCAACCACACCTGGTGGAGTGTGGTAGCAATAAAGGAGCTTTCCGGAAAACCGGACTTTGTGCTCCCCTGCATGAAGAGAAGGTCCTCCAAATTCTGCCAGTTCAGCTGCGGGTTCATCTCAGCCAGCCTTTCCGCAAGAACCGGACCACCCTCTGAATCGCCGGGCAGCTGAGCAGGCAGTGCTCCGGTGTCTCCTCTGCTTTGCAGTGTGGGCAAACCACTCTGTCCTTCTTAAAAAAAGCCACTCCCCCACTTGTAGGTTTCTACAGTGCAGCCTCAACAGGATTTCCCATGCCCGGGCAGGGGTGGCGAGAGAGTCCCTCTGCTTGATGACCTTCTCCCACTCAATAACCCTACCATCACTGATCCACCTCCGCTGCTCCTTTACGACGCCTGCTGAAGCCAGCCCCTTTCTGATTTCTTTGAGCGATCGAATCTCTCCGTCCTTGGTTAGCTTAGACTGTAGAAGCTTCGTTCGCACCTCACCCATAAACCCCAGCACCTTATCTGTGAGAGTACTACGGCTTATGTCAGCTATGCTTGCTTGCTTTTACTCTATTATGCTATTTCTAGCATAGGATAATTATATGCATGCATGAATTGCTTGATTTCCTAGGCTAGGTGCTTTCCTATATTTTATTATAGTTATACCACCGAGCTAGGTTGCGTGCACCGAATTCTGGCTTTTCGGTTGCCACCGAATCGCCTTCTACCGAATTCGGTAAAAATCTGTTCGGGACGCTTCGCGACCCGCGGAACCTTCGCGTAACACCTGGTTATGGGGCCTTGTGTCG